GGGGGGGGGCAGTGAGCAGCACAGAGAACAAGTGGATCCCTCAGCTGGGTTCCTGCACCGGGACCGACCCCGAATCCGCCGGATCCAAGAGGCTGCCCCAGAACTCCGGTATCACCGATCCGCCGCGGGAGCTAGGCTCGGGTCTCCTTTGAGAAATGAGGGGTTAAGGGCAGGAAAGATGCTAAGCGGTGCGTACCCGCACCTCCAGCACTCAGCTGTGCCTCGGTTTCCCCACTTCTACTCCCCAGTTTCAGCTGGGTGCTTAGCCACAGCCACAGCCACACAGCAGTGTGCCTCAGTTTCCCCACTTCAGCTGCTGGCAGCCAAAGCCAGGTTAATCTCTGTGCAGGGGCTGCACCACAGGGGCTGCCAATTTCAGTCAGGGCCTGCGTGGCGCCCAGGGCGGTGGGGCTGAATCTCGGTCGGAGCCTGGGGGGCGACGGGGCCGGATCTCGGTCAGGCCTTGATCTTGGGCCGTCGGGCAGGGCTCTTTGAGGAGGGCAGAGGGCGCGGCGTCGGGACGGGCTGCGGGGAGAAAACGAGAGCAGGTTCCTCTTGCCGGAGGCCTGGTCTGCGAGGTATCGATCGGTGTCTATTTATAACGGCCTCTCGGGGCCGCGTCATTTCCAGCTCTCTACGGCCCAACGTCCATCGGCCGAGCAGGGCACGCTGTGGCAGCAGGCGTGGGTCTGGTGCCGGGCGCCGCCCAGACCCTGGCCGAGATCGGGGCCCCCTGTGAGCATTCTCAGGCCCCTATTGACCCTCCCCTCTGATTTTGCGGAGGTGCCACTTCTCATCCCAGTGCCCCCTGGCCTGTCACTGCACGGCCCCCGCCTCCGGGTCTGCCTCAGCCCCCAGGCATCTCCTCCTCCTGCCGTGCCCTGCTGCTCCGGGGCTGCGTGGGAAGCTGATGGCACATGGACCCGCTCTGCTCTCGCTCTAAATTTAGAGCAGCAAGAGAAACAGGAAGAAACCCAGCCTCTGCCTGCAGGAACGGAGCAACGGGCAGGCTGGGGCGAGGCCCATCCACCCCGGTATCCCATCTCCAAGCACGGCCCTGCTCTGGGTTAAGGACTGGGGCAAGGGGAGAGGCCCCGGGCCCCATTCCCTGCCCCCTTGACCCAGGCAGTACCAAACTGAGACCGGATGGGAGATGGTGCCCCCTAGAGGGGACAGGCCCTGCCCCCGAGCCAACCAGTGCCCCCCAGCACTGCAGGAGTCATGGCCCCCCGGAGGCGGGAAGTCTGCGGCCCAGCGGCTAATGGAGACGGTCCCTGCCAAAGGAGGATGAGATCATGTGTTCATCCTGCTCCCTCCCTAGGGGGTCTCTGTGGGGCTGGGCGCCCTCCCAGCCAGTGTGGCAGGGAGGGGGCTGTGCCCATCCCCCCCCCAGTGCTGATGTGCCTCCCCTCCCCCAGCCCTGAAGATTATCTCATCATATAGCCTGGAGCTGGGAGGGGGTGGTAGGGCTGGAGAGAAATCTGTGGCTTTAATAAGGAAGTGGGTCTGGTGGGGTGGGGGCTCAGAGCCAGGACTCCTGGGTTCTCTCCCAGCTCTGGGAGGGGAGTGGGGTCTGGTGGGGTAGAGCAGGGGGGGCTCAGAGCCAGGACTCCTGGGTTCTCTCCCAGCTCCGGGAGGGCTGTGGGGTCAGCTGGGGTAGAGCAGGGGGCCCTGTGTGCGAGGGTGTTGGGGGGCGGATGTGAGCGCATGTCCGGGGGGCGCGCTGCAGGCTGCGTGGGTTTGCCATGAGTCGCTGAGTTCCAGCGTGTCTCTGGGGACTCATCATGGGCCCGGATGACACCATCCGCCCGCTCCGGGTGACTAACCAGCACTGAGCCGGGGCCTGGGCAGAGCAGGGGGTGCGGGGCTGGCGGCCAGGACTCCTGGGTCCCCTCAGCTGCAGAGAGGTGTCTGATTCGGTTGCCAGAACAGGGAGTGAGCATCAGGCCGTCCCGTGCCTCTGAGTCAGCCCCTCCTCGGGGAGGGGGACATGGCTGCATGCCCGTGACTCAGTTTCCCCATTGGTTACCTGCCCTATGGCTGAGACTAATTAACACCTGGTGATGAGGGGTCAGCCTCCCAGCAAGTGATCTCTGCCCCCCCCCCCCGCGGGCTTTTCCAGGCCCCCTCCCACTCGGCTCTCCCTGGTGCCTGTATGAGTTCTCCCGCTCGCTCGTTGCCAAGTGATGGGAGCTGTGTTGTGGGAGGGTGAGATTGTTCGACTATTCTGGGCTCCTCCGTCTCCCTGCGCCCCTGTGCTCTGAGTCACAGCCGGCGGGGCGCCGGATCGTGCCCGGCTCCGGAGCGCGAGTACTCGCCGAGCCTGGGCCGGGCAGCACCTGGCGCGAAGGGGGCCTGGCCCGCGGCGGAGCGTGACAGAGCACCCAGCAGGGTCGCGGATCTGGGGAAACTGAGTCACACAGAGAGGCGATGGTATTTGGCCCACCTCCGAAGGCACTGAGAGGTAAAGGACCCAGGAGTCCTGCCGCTTCCTCCCTTCCAAAATCACACTCTGTTCCACAGGCAGGAGCAGAACCCCACCATCCTCTCCCCCCCCCGCCCCTCCCCCCCGCACCCGGGGAAAAAACCCGGGATCCCGGCCCCCCGGCCCCCCCCGCCCCCGTTATTTGACAAGCCCCGCCCACTCCGTCCCTTCCCCACCAATCCGGGCGGGCTGGGCGGGGCCCGGGCTGTACACAGCCCGCACGTGGAGCCGGGCGGGCCCTGCGCACCCTGCATGCGGGAGGAGGACGCGCCCGCCCCAGCCCAGCGCTGGGAGCCTGGCGGGGCCTCGGGGCGGGGTCCAGGGGCTCCGCGGACTGTGGGCGCCGGGCAGCGGCCAGGGTGAGCGCTGCGGTGCGGACCGGGGGGCGGGATCCAGACGGAGAGGGGCTCCGGAGCCGGAGGGGGCTGGGGTAATTGTGGTGAGTGAGCCCAGACTCCTGGGTTCTCTCCCGGCTCTGGGAGGGGAGTGGGGTCTGGTGGTTAGAGCTGGGGGGAGCTGGGAACCCGGACTCCTGGGTTCTCTCCCCTGCTCTGGGAGGGGAGTGGGCGCTGGTGGGTTAGAGCGGGGGGGCTGGGAGCCCGGACTCCTGGGTTCTCTCCCCTGCTCTGGGAGGGGAGTAGGGGCTGGTGGGTTAGAGCAGGGGGGCTGGGAGCCCGGACTCCTGGGTTCTCTCTCCCGCTCTGGGAGGGGAGGGGAAGGGAGTGGGGGCTGGTGGGTTAGAGCAGGGGGGGCTGGGAGCCAGGACTCCTGGGTTCTCTCCCGGCTCTGGGAGGGGAGTGGGGGCTGGTGGGTTAGGGCAGGGGGGGCTAGGAGCCAGGAATCCTGGGTTCTCTCTCCGGCTCCTGGAGGGGAGGGGGTCTGGTGGTTAGAGTGGGGGGTGGGCTGGGAGCCAGGACTCCTGGTGACAGATTCAGGAATAGAGCCCAGGTGAGCAAATCCTTTTCCTGCTCAGTGCCTCAGTTTCCCCACCTGTAGTTAGCATTGCTCGGCCCCACCTCACAGGGGCGCTGCTGAGCGGGAACCAGCACAGGTGAGGCCAGAGGTGCTGGCAGAGCATGGAGGTAAAACCGTCCCACCCACACAGCCCCGGGGACCAGCTCAGCCCTCTTCCTGGGCCTGTGTGAGCTATCCCCTTTGAGCACTAGAACCGTGGTACCCCTGGGACTCCGCACGGTGACTCGCTCCTGTCCAGCGCGTTGCAGCAGCAGCTCCCAGAGCGCTGTATCGAGGGGCTCGGCGTCATCCTCATCGGTGGGGAAACCGAGGCACAGAGCGGTGCTGTGAATTGCCCACGTTCAACCCACAGGGCAGTGGCAAAGCAGGGAATACAAGCCAGGAGTCCTGAGTCCCGGGCTCTACCCACCAGGGCACGCTGCTTACATCTGTGCATGGCCTGGCATGGACAGACAACGAAGTGACAGGGGAAACTGAGGCACAGATGGGAGGCAACTTATCCAAGGTCACACAGCAGCATGGGGGCAGAGCTGGGGATAGAACCCAGAAGTCCGGAGCCCCAGCCCTCCCCCCACGTTCTAAACCCCCAGGCCCCACTACCCTCCCAGAGCTGGGAGAGAACCCAGGCGTCCTGACCCCCAGCCCAGGCAGGGTCCCAGGGGGATGCTCTGGCGGAGGACGTCTGTGGTTCCTGTTGGTATCAATTATTCATACCGGTGCCGAATTAACGCTGACATCAGCGCTTGGCAGCCGGCCAGACCCTCGGCTGGGCCCTTCACCGGGCCTGGCCCATGGACGCCAGCTGAGCCGCTCCCCTCCCCCCATGCCTTCCACATCCTCTGCACAGGGAGCCAGCTACAGCCGGGAGCCAGTACTGGGGGGGCAGGGGGCTGCGGGTCAGGAGTGAGGGCCACCAGCAGGGCTGGGATGGCAGGGGCTGCGGGTCGGGAGTGAGGGGCGCCGGCAGTCACACTTCCCGCCCCATGGCCTGCGCTCCCAGGGGGATGTGTCATGGCTCCGGGGCAGGATGCTAGGGGCCGGCATGGTGCTAGGAGGGGGCTGGGATCTCCTGTTCTCCCCCTCCCACCGCGGCTCGCTGACTCCCATCCGCTCTCCCTGGCAGGTCTGTGTGGAGCCCCAAGTGGCGGCTGGGCCCCGTCTCCGACACCACCCAGATGCCCCCCGTGCCCCGGCTCTATCCTGGACTCAGGCCTTTCTCCGCCCACCCCAGTCTCTGCAGCCCAGCCAGGCAGTGGCTGCTGGAGAGGAAGCCGCTCTCCGGATCGGGGGACGCCTCCCCGCGAAGCCGCCAGGGGCTGGAGCTGTGACCCCACGCTGCCCTCGCTCCGGAGGTTGAGAGGCGTCACTGGATCTGCCCTGACCTCACCCCCTTTTGCTGCTGGGCCACCCCCAGGCGCACAGAGGACAGCGACGGGGGTGTCCGCGGTGCCTCGCACCCTTCAGGCCCCGGCTGGCCCCTCCGGCTGACCTCGCCAGCCGGAGTCCACGCAGAGCCGTGGCGCCGTGGGACAGGATCAGCTTGTGCCACGTTTCCAGCCCCCCGCCAATGCCCCCGCCAGCCCCATGGAAGCCCTGGGGAAATCCACCCTGTGGCTCTCCGGGGAGCTGGCGTCCCCGGCCCCCCGGCTGCACATCCTGGATTGCCGCAGCCGGCAGCACTACGACTCCTGCCACGTGGCCCGGGCGCTGAGCGTGGCCCTGCCAGGGCTGCTGTTGCGGCGGCTGCGCAAGGGGAAGCTGTCGGTCCGGTCACTGCTCCCGCCCGCGCCGGGCGCTGTCCTGCTGTACGACGAGGCCACCGCCACACTGCCGCACCCCGGCCGGGACGACGAGGAGTCGGTGCTGGCCACGCTGCTGCGCAAGCTGCAGGAGGAAGGCTGCACAGCGTATTACCTGCAAGGTTGGTGCCGTGGCCGGGCCCCGTCACCCCTCGCTGCCCCCAGCCCAGACTCACTGGACAAAGCGCCCCTGGCCCAGCACCGCTCCCCGCCCCGAGAGAGGCCGGCACCTGCGGTCGACATAGCAGGCTGGGATGCAAGGCACTGGCAGGGAGGGTCTGTGCCTCAGTTTCCCTGGTGCGATGGGGCCCAGTCAGGGGAGGGGGGTATGAGCAGCGCCCGGTGTGAGGCCCCCACCCAGGCCCTGCTATAATCTCTCTAATACTAACACACCTGCTCTGCCCGCAGGGGGCTTCTCCAAGTTCCAGTCCGAGTGGCCAGATCACTGCGAGACCAGCCCGGAGGTGCCCGGCGCCAGCAGCTCCCCCGCTCCGATGGGGACCCCGGTGGTGGGTCTGGGGGGGCTGAGCCTGGGTTCGGACGGGGACTCAGGACCCCTGAGCAGCGGGGGGGTGGACTCGGAGGCAGCCAGCCCCCCGTCCTACCCGGTGCAGATCCTGCCCCACCTCTACCTGGGCAGCGCCCGAGACTCAGCCAACATGGAGACGCTGGCCCGGCTGGGCATCCGCTACATCCTCAACGTCACCCCCAACCTGCCCAACCTCTTCGAGGAGCAGGGCGGCTTCCGCTACAAGCAGATCCCCATCTCGGACCACTGGAGCCAGAACCTGGCCCGCTTCTTCCCAGAGGCCATCGCCTTCATCGGTGAGTGCCCGTGCTCCACGGTGCCCCCCTGTACCCCCGTGCAGCCCTGCTGGCCCCACGGCACCCTCACCTGTACCCCCAGCCCCAGTGCCCCCTTTCTACCCCCCATGCCTGGGAGCCCTGCTGGCCTCATGGCGCCCCCACCTGTACCCCCACCCCCAGTGCCCCCTCTCTACCCCCCATGCCTGGGAGCCCTGCTGGCCCCACAGCGCCCCCACCTGTACCCCCACCCCCAGTGCACCCGCTCTGCGCCCATGCCTGGGAGCCCTGCCGGCCCCACGGCACCCCCCCCACGTCTCTGCACCACAGCGCCCCCTCCTGTACCCCCACCCCCAGTGCCCCCTCTCTGCCCCCTCCCAACCCTTCCCCATGTCCCCCTCAGCTCATTGACTTTGGTTCCCTGCAATGCCATCAGCCCCCTCTGCATCGCATTGGCTGTGGTCTGTCCGTCCTCTCCTTGTTCGCCCTGCCCCCATACCTCAGAGACCGTGGTCCATCCCGTCCACTGCCCCCATGGCTCATTGACCGTGGTCTGTCCTGCCCCGTCCCTGTATGTCAGAGACCATGGTCCTTCCCATCTCCAGTCCCCCAACCAGTGACTATGGTACCTTCCATCCCCCTTCCTCCCCACCCTCTGCCTCAGTTGACCATGGTTCCCATCCCACCCCATGAGCCCTCTCTCCATCTCACTGAGCATGGTCCGTCCCTTCCCCCCGTCCTCCCCCAGGGACTGGAGAGCCCAGCGGAGCTAGTCCATGCAGTTCTCTGACTTCAAGGGGCTGCTAACGACGGCCGTACCTTAGCATCCCCCTCCCAGAGAGGGTGCTGACAACGCCGACGCCCCCGTAACCCCCCTCTGCTCCATCCCCGTCTCTTCCCCTCCCCAGACGAGGCAGTGTCCCAGAACTGCGGCATCCTTGTTCACTGCCTGGCGGGTGTGAGCCGCTCGGTGACGGTGACGGTGGCCTACCTCATGCAGCGCCTCAACCTGTCGCTCAACGACGCCTACGATCTGGTCAAGCGCAAGAAGGCCGACATTTCGCCCAACTTCAACTTCATGGGGCAGCTGCTGGACTTTGAGAGGGAACTGGGGCTGGCTGAGGGATCGCCAGCGACCCCTGGAGCCCCTGACGGGCGCGGCCAGATGCCCACGTCCTCCCCAGGCTGCTTCTTCACGCCGCCGGCCTCCGAATATGAGGAAGAGGATGGCAGTTTCCAGCGTTACCCCACGTAGCCCCTGCCACCCCCCATGAGCCCCATGGCTAATCTAGGCATCGGTGGGGTTACCAGGGGATGTGTGGCTAACCTAGGCCTTGGCAGGACGCTAGAACCCGCAGGGCTGAATCTAGACCTGCCTTTTCTGGGATCTGTGCTCTGGAGCCAGGTCTGGAACCTGCAGCTCTCGAATAGGGACCCAGAAGCTGCAATTAACTTCTTTGTTTGGACTTTTGGTTCTGGAACTACAAGGAAAATAAAACCATTGAGGTCATGCTGGAGCCTAGAACTCTTCGCTCTACAGATGGGAGCTTGAATGCCATGCCAGGTCTTGAACCTGGACCTCTAGAATTCAGCTGTGCCCCAGAGCCATTGTAGAACCATCAGAACGTGAACCTGGGACCTGCATCAACTACCTTGTTTGGACATTTGGTTCTAGAGGTTCAATTAGGAGAATATTAAGCCAGTAAACGATCATGCTGGAGCATAGAACGTGCAGCTATAGAGGCGGATTAAGAAATCTTGAATGCTAATGCCATGTCTGAAATCTGGGCCTCTAGAATGGGGGAGATTGCACCAGAACTACCATTTCAAAACCACATGCCAGATCTGGAACCTGAAGCTCTGGAACCAGGACATGGAACCAACAATTGCCTGCCTTGTTTGAGCCAGTAGTTCTAGACCCATAACAAGAGTTAGAAAACACCAAGGTGGAGTCTAGAACCTGCAGTTCTAGAAGTGGATTAAGGAATCTACAGAACCAGGTCTGGAATATGCATCTCTAAAACAAAGACAGAGGACCTATATTAACTGCCTTCTTTTGATCTAAAGCCACAATGAGAGTTATAAGGCACTGAGCTACCATTCCACAATCTAGATCCTGCAGCTCTAGATGTGGGTGAAGGAATCCCCATTAGCCAGTGCCAGGTGTGGAACAGCAGTTCTGGAACCAGGATCCAGAGCCAACACTTACCTGCCTTGTTTAGACCTTTGGGTTCTAAAGCAGCCAATCTACTTGGGTGGAACCTAGAACCTGCAGCCCTAGAAGCATGTTCAGGATTCTCCAGTGCCAGGTCTGGAACCTGTAGCTAGGATTGGTGATCCACCCTACCTAGAACCGTATTGCTTGAGCATTATCGTTTAAAAGCCACGTGGGCCAGGTTTGGAACCTCCCTGGCTATACAACAAAGATAGAGAATGCCCATCTTGTTTGGACCATTGGATCTAGAGCCATAATGAGAGTAATAATCATGCCAGAGTCTAGAACCTGCAGATCTCAAAGTGGGTCGAGTGATCTCCAGTGCCAGGTCTGGAACCTGGGGCTCTAGAACGAGGATCCAGAGCCCAGTCGTCTGTCTTGCTGGTATCTTTTGGTTCTAGAGCCAGACAGACTACCATGCTGGAGTCTAGAACTTGCAGCTCCAGAAGTGGAATCAGGACACTTCCCCATCAGACCTCACCCCAATGCCTGCTCTGGAATGTCACCCCGAGACTGAACGCTGACCTGAACCACGTCCAGCCACTTGCTCGTGGGTTTTGAACAACTGGATTGGAACTGGGGCTAGTTGGCAACTCTAGAACCAGTTCCCAGTAGGGTTCCTGGCCTGAAAACCAGATTGTGTTGTGGTGGGTTTGGAGCAGAGACCCAGGAGACAGGAAAGAACTGTGTCCGTCCATCCCTGCTGGAGGAGCTGTCCCGTGGGTGTCTCCGTGTGTCCCCATGTGCGTGTCCCTGGAGGAGAGGAACCCTGGCGTGTGTCTCTCTGTGTGCATGTGTCCCTGCTGGAGGGGATGTGCCGTGTGTGTGTCCAGGTGCCAGACGGTCACACTGATCCTCACTAGCCGATGCTGGGGCCCGTGCGGGGTGTGTGTGTGTCATTTTTTCACTGTTCTAACACTTCCCCCCCCCCCCCATACATAGTGCAGCGGACGTGCTGTTGTCGGGGTGTCCAGGGGCTGTGAAGGGGGTGGGGGAGCTGGGAAACAGGGACAATAAAGCTGGACTTTAACCCCCTGCTCCTGTGGTTTTTTCCAGCAGGGGATTCTTCTCCCCAACACAGGACTCCTGGGTTCTCTGCCGGGCTCGGGGAGGGGAGCGGGGGCTGGTGGGTGAGAGCAGGGGGGACTGGGAGCCAGGACTCCTGGGTTCTCTGCCCGGCTCGGGGAGGGCAGTGGGGGCTGGTGGGTGGGAGCAGGGGGGACTGGGAGCCAGGACTCCTGGGTTCTCTCCCGGCTCTGGGAGTGGGGTGGGGCTGGTGGGTCAGCGCCTCACTTTTTCCCTAGCAGAGGCCAGGGCCGGATTCTCGCTGTGCCTGGGCTGTGGGCGGGCACCGAGCTCCGTGCCCAGCGGGGCTGCACGGGCCTTTCACGGAGGGGGCCCAGCTCAGTCCCTGCCCTGACGCCTGCCCCGAGGGAGGGAACCTGTATCAGGCCTTTCCCCCCTCCCTGAGCAGCCCCTCATCGCCGGCTGTCCTGCAGCTTCCCTTCCCAGCGCCGCCCTTCCCCTCCACAGCCAGCTGCGTCCGGAGCTGGGGGGGCAGAACTGTGAGATTTGCCCAGGAGTCAGGGCTGGGCGCTGGGGGGTACCGGGGGGGGGCTCGGCAGGGGGCCCCCCCCCGTGGCTGGGGGGGCCAGGCGCGGGGGGGCTCCAGGCGGGGGACAGGGGGCGCTCTCCCCTGGCCATATTTCCCCTGATTTCCCATCCAGCCTGGAAGAGCCATGGCCCCCCTCCCTCCTCCTGCCGCGCCTCCGGCTTCCTGCCTTTGTGAGCAGAGGAAACGCCGCTTCCTCCGAGCCCATGGACCGGCGAGAGGGGGAGGGGCTAACGGCAAGAGCTGCCTGGTGCAGCCCCTCCCCCTCCAATGCTGCTGCCTCTGTGCCCTGCTAATCACCACTAACCTTAACCCTGACCCTGATAACCCTAACCCAGCCCCGCCCAGATATCCCTAACCCGGCCCCGCCCCTTTACCCAGCCCCGCCCTGATATCCCTAACCCGGCCCCGCCCCTTTACCCAGCCCCACCCTGATATCCCTAACCCAGCCCCGCCCCTTTACCCAGCCTCGCCCCTTTACCCAGCCCCGCCCTGATAACCCGGCCCCGCCCCTTTA